AGAGCCTGTCCTCTCAATAGAGCAGGTAAACCAGAGTCAAAAATGCACCAGAAGGATGAAAAAAACATAGGAATGTTACTGCTCTGTCCCCCGGGTTTCTTGTAACATAAGAACAAAGTGGCATAGGCCTCCCCAAGAAGACCTTTCTGCTTCGGTAAGGTTTAAGAAGCTTCTGGAAGCGTTCACCTCCTTCTCACCAGCAATAGAGGAGACCAGCTCTGGTTCCTTAAAGAGCCGTTGCTCTTCCTGAAGTCCTCGGAAAGGTTGGTTTCCAAGTAGATGAGATGCTGGAATTAATGGACTCCAGCTTCCTTAGGAAGGTGGCCTCCTGCCAGGACTGATTAGTCCAGCTGGCCTGTCCACTATTTCTGTTTTATTGCTTCCTTTCTCATTAAGCAAGGTGTTGGGCTTGGATAACCATAAACAACATGTCTGCTGCTACCATCTCGTACACAGCCAGTGCTTGAACCAGGCTCTCAGGAGTCCTTTTCAAAGTCTTGGATCACAGTTTCGGAGAAGCAGCGAAAGGAAGCCCAGGCTTGAAAATGTGCCACACAAATAGTTCCTTTCCTATTTTTACTGCTTTTCCTCTGGGGGGAAAAAAAATCAAAGTGATAGAGAAAACTTAAAAAGAAGTCAGTGCTAATTTTCCTAACCTCTCTCTGTCTGCTCTTTCTCCCCTCCTCCCCTCCCTCAGCATAGCCACATGAAACAGTTATGGCCTCAATCTTTGCAATGCCAGGGTAGGAAGCTGGAAGGGGGTCCCCTCACCCCCTGCCGGCAGCAGCCCCAGGGATCCTGAGCAGCCACCAACCCCTTGCTGAGCAGCTCTGTGGGTTCCTCGAAGCCCGCTGTCTGCATGGGCCCACGGGCTGGCGTCTCTAGGACACAGGGCCCCTGAAAGGGCGTCACTCCCAGCTTCCCTCCACGCTCACTGCAGTAATCGCAATATCTGTGCTTCTCCCTCCCCAGACTGTGTGTTCCTTAAAATAACCTTCATTGGCACATCATTTCTCACCAGGAGTGGTACCCTGGTTCTCTCCAGGCATCTAATTTTCTCTCTTCCGGCACAGGGAGAATCATATTTACCCAGTAAACCACAGTGGTGACCTATAGCCTTAGTTCCTTACTTTCACTTTTACTGGAACTTTGCAGCTGGTTGCCTCTGCTTTCCCTAGTCCTTTCCCCCTCTCCCTTCTGCCCTGTCTGATTTGTCTGATTGGTCTGATTTCCCTCCCAGCCCCACCCAGCACCCAGCCCCTCCCAGCACCCTACCTCAGTGACTGCCTCGACTCTATCATCATCGAGGGTCTTCTAGGTCTTGGTTCACCCAACAGTTCATCAAGCTTCTCAGCATGTCCCGAACAATAAATACTAAATACTCAGAAAATCTTTGTTGAGTGTTGAGAGGTATTTTTTTCAAGAATCTCCCTCCACCCCACCCCCACCCCCAGAATATTTCACGTATAACCGAATTAGGTTTTGTATCGGAACTTACCTCACTGTGTTTTCATTGGAATTGCTCCTCTAGGAAAGGACAAGAATTGCTCCTGTGCTGCGAGTGGATAAGGAAACTCTGATTGCTAATTATGTTAATACGAATCACCTATATGCATTTTAAATTTCATTGGCCTTTCCTGGCTTCTTAGCATATCTGCACTGTTACTTACCACTACAATGGTTGTGTCTGAAAGAAAAGCAAACACCTCTATTGTTTGATACAAACCCAACCTCAAGAGCTACACAAGGAGAGTCTAGGTAACATTTGATCTACACTTTAAGAGCTTACCATATGGCAGACACTTTTCCAAGCACTTTACAAATATTAGGCAATTAAAATATCATTAAATGCACTGAGGTAGATTTATTATTATACTGACTTTACAACTGAGGGAAATATGGCACAAAAAGGTAACAGCATAACACAGTCAAGGTCATGTACCACACACACAGAGTCAAGCTAGTAATGGTCGAACCAGGCTTCAAACACAGGCCGAGTCCATACCTCTAACCACTATTAAGTGCTGCCTCACACTTGTTTCTTGCCAAAGTTTCCCTATAAGTCAGAGGAGTAAATTCTGATGAATTTACAGTGTCTGTGTACTTAGCAGAGTCCTGTGCACCCAGTATTTTATAAGTCCAGTTATTTTCTGCAATCAGGTCCTCATGTAAAGGAGCCAGACTTTGTGCCCTCTTTGAAAACATAACCATATCATACACAGTGCTACGTGAGTTGGGCATGCCAAGGTGGCCTGGATTAGTATCACAGATTACTCATGCATTATAACATTGTGTATTTGGAAAAAACGTAGAGTTCATTTTTGAAAATTTAGCTTCATATGTTGATGAAGTAATTGAAATCCAAGGTAGTCAAAAAGTCTCACAGCTCATGTGTAGAAGAACACACATTGATTCCTCTTTTTTTATTTTTAGTTATCTGCCTGCTTTGAATTTGCTCTTGTTGCTAATGTACACACACACACACATACACAGTTGAGATACCATTCATATACCATGAGACTCAGCCTTTAAATGAGTGCAAGTTTGTGATTTATAGTATATTCACAGAAGTGTGAAACTATCACCACTGTTTAATTTTAGAACATGTTCATCACCCCCAAAAGAAATCCCATACATATTTATAGTCTTTCCCCAACTTTTCCCCCACTCCCATCTCCAACATTAGAAGACCATTAATTTACTTTCTTTCTCAATAGACTTGTCCATTCTGGACACTTCATATATATGGAATCATATAATAGGAAGTATAAACTCACCAAAAGCACAGATTTTTTTCTAGTGTTGTATTTTAAGGGGTATCATGGATATAGTTCTTTGATTTTACAGCTCTGTCTTCTGATCATGTAAGGCATTTTCTCACTTTCTTATTTGTACTATTTCCAGCTTCCCTTTGGTTTGAGCACTCTGGGCAGACTAGAGAAGGTGAGAGGACCTGTGGCTTTTCTTTTTTCCAAGGGCAGTGAACAATGGAATTTGTCCCCCCTATTAATTCTCATGGTGTTTCTTCCATTCTTACAATCTTTATTTCTATCTCAAATTTTGTGAAATATTTTCACAACCTTATTCCTGAAAGGATCAAGTATTTTGCCAACCCTTCTTTTAAAACAGGTCACAAATGCAAATTCTCTAGAAGAAGGGGGAGAGGCGGAGGTTGTTGCTAAGAGGTGAAAGGAGGAACATGATTGTTGCCGAGTCTTCCCAAGGTCTGAAAAGGAAAGTCTGGGCATCTATGCTCCCTCCACATGGACTTCTGGTTTTGTTTTGTTTTGTACTTAAGGTGCAGAGAATTAAATTAAAACCCTGCTCCTCAACTACAAGCTAACGACTAGCATCAGTTTGTGAACAGCCCCGCTTTTATTTCAGTGTTTGCCGTCCAGCCCGCTCGCCCTCACATTCCCCCCCCCCCACCACATGCCTTCTTTACACTTGATGAGTGTCGCAGAGACACACATCTCGACATGCTAGTAGTGTTACTGGATCCGAAGGCGTAATTACCAAATTAATACTATGCCATAAATCTCGTTTCTCTAACTTTTAAATTCACTGTGAAGTCACTAAAGCCGATTCCTGTTGCTGGATTTACATTGAATTTCTTGCTCTAACAGCTGAAAATTTTGGGTGTATATCCAACACATTTTACTTCTCCACCCCTGCCACAAGCACCAATAAAGTGAGAAACCCGGGGACGGACTGCCTCAGTCTGTGTGTCTAGGAGAGGACTGGGCAGGCCACCAGGCCCATACAGCTTAACCTCTTTGGTGGCCTCGCACCCCTCAGTCTCACTCCTCCTCTGGCCTGCGGAGGTCGGAGCTAGGCAGATGCAGGTGTCACTCTGCCTCTCACTTGCCCCTCGGAGCTCCTCTAGGGCATGAGGAGAGAGGTGTGAGATGCAGGGAACTTGCCTGGCACTTAGCCTGCATGAAGTGAGCAGGGAGCATAGGCTCCCAATCAGGGAGCCTCGGGAGCCTGGGACCCGAGAGAAATGTTTGCGCCTGTGTGTGTGGGAACGGTGCCCAGATGCAGTTCATAAGGCCCTGACCACGGTCCTCGAGGAGTGAAGCGCAGGTTGCCAGCAGGAGCCGCCCACTAGCAAGTGCGCCTTGTGCTGACCCTATTCCAGTCCCCTGATCCTCCTCCTGCTCCCTGTCGTTGCTTCCCAAATGCGCTGCCCACAGACAAGCTTTGGTCTCAGGCTGTGCTTTCTGGGTCACCCAGATTACTCTCCAGGAGTCCCAGTCTGGATAGTTTGTCCAGTCTCCTTCTTGTGGATCAGAGACTAGGCCACCTCAAAACTGCGGAGGGCCGCCTCCTGCTTAAGGACGCTTCCTGCGTAGGCTCTTTCACGTGTGAGCCTATGATTTTGCTTGCTGCAGCTCCTTTCAGGCTGTGAGTGTGATGTACATACACGCATGGTAACCTAACAATACCGTCCCAGAGCCCAGTGGGCTGCATAGGGGACCACAGTGGCCATGCTCGAGGAGGGGACTCTAGATTTGCAAAATATCAGCAAGGATGGAAAAAAGTGGCTATTCGTAAAAAAAAAAAATCTGCTTCTGCAAACCTTGATGCCTGCCCGCTGTCACGGCTCATGACCCCTGAGGCAGACGGGCCACTCACCATGGATGCGCCATCACAGAGTATTTGAAAATTTTGCTTCTGTCTGCTTGGCGATGGGGAGACATAGGAAGGTTTACACTTTCCAGTGAAGGGCGTTGCCATCAGCTTTTGTCCTGGAAGGTGCACTTATCATTTGGGTCAAGTCAAGGGGAAAACGGAATCATTTGAGAGGCTATGTATGTCAGTGCAACGCCTGTGTGTGAGTGTGAGTGTGTGTGCACACACAGGGGCATCATCATGAAAATAAAAAGCAGCAGCAACGAGACATAGGGAAGCTGAGGAATCTTGGAATAGGTGTGGCTTCTTGTTCCGAGCAGCTTTTGAAACCTCATTATCCTTTTCTGCTTCTGTTGTATGAACAGGTGGTTAATACGTACACCCCAGGAAAGAAGATTTGGCTTGAAGGTGTGGTGACCACCACAGCTGGAGGCACAAATAACCTCTCAGATTCCTTTGCTGCAGGATTCTTGTGAGTAACACTTTCAATTTCACCCCGTTTAGGAAGGACAGTGGAATTGTGACTCTGTCTGTTATTCTCCCCAGAGGAGAGGCCTGGGGGCTTGTTTCCCATTGAAAGCTCTTCATTTGCTTGTAAATTGTTTCATCATTCAACAAACAGCAAGGAGGGACTTCTCTAGATGCTAAGATGTCATAGGAGACACAAGAGCCAAGATAACTGTGATAGGAAACGTTACTGCCTGTGGTGCCAGACACATTACACTCTACATGCATCTTCTCATCTGATCTTCCTCAGGGTGCTGGGAAATAGGTAAGAGCAAGACAGGAGAAGTCTTCCCCTTCAGAAGCTTAAGACTGGAGGAGCAGAGACAGGCGATGAAGTAAAGCTGCAGGAGTTAAGTGCATAAAAATAATTATTTCAGCTCTGTAGTGATTAACTGCACAGTGTACTGTTTGGAGCGCCTCTTATATATTTAACAATTTCATAGCCAGTGAAACGGATACTGTCATTTTTTTGTTTAAGATTTATTTATTTGTGCATACAGAACTGGGGTACAGGCCAGAGGCTCAGGGGCGGTGAGAGGCTTCACCAGAGACAGAGTGGGGAGCAGAACAGGCAGATCAACGAAGTACACTGCTGAGGGGAGCAGTGGGCGGGTCAGGAGAGGTCTGCCACGCCATGTGGTCTCCTCCAGGGCAGGTGGGGATCGAACTCATGCGGAAGTGGCTTTAGCTTCTCAGTGCAGTGCTTTAACCCACTGCACCACCAGGGAGGGCCTACTGTCATTTTATAACAATTGAGATAGATGCAATTATTAGGAGCAGAGCTTGGATGCAAACCCAGGCAGTCTGCTCCAGAGTCCTCCCCTCTCTCTCTCTCTTTCTCTCTCTCTCTCACTGTCTCACACACTTTCTCTCTCTCTCTTCGTCTGTTCACAAAAGGAGATTGTTGGGATGCAAAGGAATCAGGAATTTCTCTGACTGGGAAAATTTCATGGAGGGGGTGGCACTGGAGTGGGACATAGAAAAATTATTCCATTTTATATAGATGGGAAATGGTGTTAACAGTAGACAGGAGTGTTCTAGACTAGAAGAAACATTATGTGCAAAGGCTCAGAGAAGAGAAAATGATTAGTGTGAAAACAGTCTTGGTTGTTGTCTGCAGCAGGTGGGCAGGGGCTGAGACTAGGGAGCGGTTTACCACCAAGTCATGGGCATCCTTGAAAACCAGGCAGAGGAAATAAGACCCTGTTCTATACTCAGTGGAAAGACATTGACAGTTCTGGAGGGTGAGGGAGACTCCATTTGACTTGTATTTTTAAAACACTGGCTCTGTACCACAAATATTTGGAGTGGGAAAACCATCCATCATCTGGAGAATGGCTGAAGCCAGAGCATAAGAGGCCTCTGACTGGCCTGCGGTGGGACAAACCCCTGGGACCACAGACTCACCAGGTAACTCGTTCCCCGTTCGTCTACTCCTGTGACTTTTTGGCCAAGCAAGGTCCTCAGAAGAACTGTGGCACTGTGCTTGGCGCGGTGTTTCACACTAACAGCTGTTACCAATTAGGCAGATGTAGTTTGCCTCCATTAAGGCAGTGCCTTCAGTACATTCGTGAAGGACAAATCAGGCCAGTCAAGCAGATTGCTTTATCGTTGCAATACTGGTGAATGCAGATGAAGCTAATGAGTCCAGTTATTTAATACCTGGGGAGACTTGGATCGTCCATCTCCATGTGGCTAGGAACCTTTCAAAAATACACTCTCCACCAGCTTCAAGGTGAGCCCTAGCTAAGGGGGAGAAGCCAGGCTGTCAGTCAGTCCAGCAGGGAACCCTGGGAACCAGCAGAGAACTGTCCTGTGCTCAGCTCTCACAGACAGGGTCTGCTCTAGGGCCTGTCAGCAGCCTCACTGTGCCGAGGGCACTGGAGAGCACGTGACTGTACTGATGCATCATTTTCTTTATTCACTCGACAAGCATAGGGATAGAAAGGTGAATATGGCATTTGTTTTTTAAAAAACATGTCAACTATAATCTCTGCTGTATTTGTGCTATTTCAGTGTTGAAAGAACACTGATTTAGGAAGTTTAAGCCCAGAATTCATGTTACAGCTCTACCAAAGAACATTTTATACCATTTCAGTGGCTGAAGGACCACTGACTTCACAGGGTTGCTAAATTGGGAAAGAAATGACAAAGGCATGTAGCTTAGCCATGGGATATTCCAAAAGTATGTTCAACCCCTGGGTCACGTCTCAATCTCAACAACAGTGAAGTTCTGCTATACATTATTGTAAGATTTTCTTTTTGACTTTAAAACTTTTGTTCTTGCATTTTACTTTGTTTTGTTAGACTTCAATATCAGCAAGTTTTGTTTGAGGATAAAGTATTATTAAAAGTATGAACAAGATTTGAGAATATTAATAATATCCATTCATAATATAAAAGCTAGTATTCTGTATTTTAAAGAAAAAACATCATTCTGTCAGTCACTGGTTTGGAGCTTCCTGTGGTTTCAGATTTGGCAAATCACAGCTATGTATAATCTAGCCCCTGTAGGTAGATTGGTGAGTCACCTGATTTTATCCAGATCAATTTCTGCTGAACAGAAGTATTGAGCACCCACAGTGTGCCAGAAACTGTTCTGGACATTTGGGGCACAGAGCTAAAACTTCAAATCTATTCTTGATGATCTTGTAACCAATTAGGCGAAAGCAGAGACGTAATAATTATTCAGCAAGCTAGCAGGAGGTGTGAGTAAGCATTCTGGGGTCTTCAGAGGAGGAAGGTGCTGCCGTTGGCCAGGGCCGTGGGGTTTAGAAGATGACACTTCACTGGATGAACAGATGGGAAGAAATTTGCCAAGTGAGGCAGGTTAGAAGAAGGGAGTTCTAAGCAGATGTTAAACCACATATAAAGATTTAGGTAAAGGATGGTGTGTTGGGCAGCCAAGACTAATTTTGTATAGTTTAGCGCCTGGGAAATGGAGTTTAGGATGTGAGAAGAGAGGGAAGGTGATGATGAAACTAACACATGTGCTCAGAAAAAAAACGGAAAAAGGCCTTAACCTTTATACCAAGAAGACTAAAGCTCTACGTCATTTTCCTACACAAAATGATTACAATTAGAGGCTCCCTGTGTTTCAAAAGTAGGAATGTGAAAAGAAAGAGAGAAACAAATGAATTCATGAATGAATATGCGAACTGAATGTGTAGGCAGTGGGTGCAGAGTTAGCGCTGGGTGCTGGAAGAGCCAGGAGGGCAGCAGAGTTGAAGGACTACACGCTCTGGAAAGCGGCTGTGAGGAAGGCGGGGCCGCTACCGGACTGTGTGCTAGTGATGGCAGAGGAAAAATCTTTTGTATCTGCTGCTGGCAGTGATACACAAGAACGGCAAACCCCGGACCACCCCTGCACAGGCATGGTGGGGGCGGGGGGTTCACGTGAAAGGTAGGTGGGCAGTGATAAAGTGCGAGGCTGGGGCTGAGTAATGGGCGAGCCAGGTCGTTCCTGAGGTTGTGTGTCCTCTAGCTAGGGGTGACATCAGATTGCCAAGTAGCTCCGGTGTTCATTGTATTTGTTAATATTCTAGGAATACAAGATAAGCATTAACAACATGTTGTAATGACCAAGGACAATTCATCTTTTACTCCCCTGGACCTTTGTTTCTTTCCCTATGTAATGAAAAGGTTGAATTTGATCATCTCTAAAATGCTGTCCAGCTGTGTATTAGGTGCATAAAATAATCTCCTTTAAAGGACTAGGTGATTTGGTGGTGGGCGGGGGGGAGGATTGGTCTGTTTAACTCTTACCCAATCTCTGAGGAGCTTGTTATATGCCAGTTAAATATATGTATATATATATATATATATATATATATATATATATATATATATATATATTTGATGTTGCTTTCCCCCCTGCCTTTTAGGTGGCTGAACACTTTAGGAATGCTGGCCAACCAGGGCATTGATGTTGTGATCCGGCACTCATTTTTTGACCACGGATACAATCACCTCGTGGACCAGAACTTTAACCCGTTGCCAGTAAGTGTGGGACAAAGCTTCCCAACTCTTTCTCCATGTCATTCAGTGCCTTGTGCCTTTTCTTGTGCCGTGTTCTGCACTGCAAGACATGTTCTCCTCGTACCAGTTAATTTTATAAATCAGACAGATGCATTCTTGATCCATTTTACAGACTTTGAGCTTCTCCACACACACAACACACATGTATACATATGCACGTGTATACATTTACATCTACTATATTTATTTACTACTCTTATTTTCACGAGCCTTGTGCAGTTGAGATTCCACATCTACTTGCGGCCTGTTTGAACTCTGCTTGAGAGTGAATTTTTCCAGATTGTTTTCTTTTAATGCTAATAGGAGACATTAGTTAACATCAAATGCAACATGTTGAAAGCAGATGGGACAGTGTTGGCTAAGATCAGATACAGTAGGAACCAGTCTCTTGGAGAGTGGCTGAAGCGTACTTTGCAGCTCAGTGCTGATCTCGACGTGACACAGGTTTGCCCAGAGCATCACCTTCTCTAGGGAAGCGAAAGAGAAGAATGGTGAGCAGTGATCTGGGTTTGTCCTGTGACCTTACTGATAAATCAAAGAAATCCCACTTAGTCTAGAAAAGCCGCACATCACAGAATATCACACAGGTTAGCCTCTACCGTGTGATGGGTAGACGTGGTGTCTGTGGCCAAAGGTCACACACTTCTCAGTAGCTCGCAGAAGGATCTAGTTCCACTCGACGGAACTGCTCTGGGCTGGGGAGCAGGGGGTGTGGAGTCAGCCCCAGAACTGCCCCTGTGCCTGCTCCTGCTCGTCCTGCAGTCACTGCTGCCCCCACTCGGCAGTGCACGCACCCGCTGGACCTGGGAGTCTCCTGCCCTTTGTCCCCCGCCTGTGTCCACCTCACCTGTCCCCTTTACCCTTACCCCAAGCCCTGAGGCAGGAGGCCTCCAACACCATTTGCAGACCTCAAAAGCATCCCTCCAGGTTAGAGTGCTGCGTCATTATTACATCACTGGCTGTCCATGACTCCAGTTCAGTCACAGGAACCAAGCTAACTGGCACAGGTGCGTCTCTTCACAGGGCCTGGGCACATGTAGCCTGGTATACAGTGGGCAGGAAGGGAGACTTCAGTTTGACCTTTAGGATGTATGTTTGCTTTGAGCTCATAAACTTGAGATAAAACAAATAATAATGAAGAGTGCACATGCGACATGTTAGCATTAGCAGTGTCATGTCATCTAAAAATGAGGACTTAACGGCCACCAGTGGGGAGGAGTCTGGTGATAGACAGACAAGGACTGGCATAACAGAGACTGAAGCGGTTGGCGAGGGCCCTTGTCAAGGCCCAGCGCCAGAGGGGCTTCTCTGGGAAGGTGGCATTTCGGCCAAGTGCCCATGACAAGAGGGAGCCAGCCCTGCCAGGAGAAGGGGCTCCCAGATGGAAACAGACTCGGGGAGGATGAGCAAACAATGGCACCCGAGTGGTGGGTCCTGCAGAGAAGGGAGAGGTGGTGGACTTGAGGCAAACCAGGGTCCTAGCACGAAGGCTGGGTAAGCTGGAAGGAGTGTGCCTTGTACTGTGAGGAGTGTGAAAGCCCACGGGAGGAATCTTTGCCAGGTAATAGCATGACTTGGCTTCCATTCTAGAAAGATCTCCTTGGTATAGTTCATGCATCAGATGTCACCTACAACTCTCTAATAACACGGAGAATACTTCACTCGCAGACTTCGCTCACATGCACACTACTCCGGCCACTCTGTCCTTCTCCTTCCCTTCCATTTCTCCATTTCCACCTCGTCAGAGCTCACACGTCAGTGCTTGTGAGCATGGACTGTGTGCAGTGACCATTCCTGACGGTGGCCACTGGGACGGACCAGCAAGACGGCGTCCCTGAGCCTGTGACAGAGTGCAGCATACAGAGACGTGGAAAGTTCAGCTATACGCATGATAAATACACTTTGTCACAATTTCTCTGATGAGAAACTCGGACCCTAAGGAGAAAGTAGGGCCCTAGAAAAGTCATTCTGTGACTTATCCAAGATTGGACACATGCTGACAGCTGGAACTCTGAGCTTTTTGCTAAATCCTGTTTTCACTGTGTTGCACTGTTTCTTGCTGTATGTTCCTTGGTGACTGTCCTATGGTCAGAGGCCAATATTTGCTTCAGAACTGAAACTAAAAGTGGAGCAAGTGTCTTGAGGAACTGGTGGGAAAAGCCTAGGATGAGATGGTCTGTGGGTACCTGGGTGGGCTTGATTTTCCCAGTTTGACAAACGGAGATGGCATCTCAGCCACCTGTGGTCACCTGTGTTAAAGAGACCAGTGCCAGGGACTTTGCTCCCCCAAATGAGAGTAGCTTCAAAGGCTTCCCAGTGAGGCCTGGTGGCTGGTGGTGGCAGGGCTCACAGAACTTTGTTGATTTAACACAAAGGCTCAAATGAACCAGGCAGCTGGCTTTCTGGAAAGTTCAAGCTCTAAGAAGCCATATGCAAAAGCACTTAGAAAAGTAGCAGCCTTTCTCTTCATCTTTCTTTGTGCTCATAAATTCTGCACCTTGTAAGTAGAGAACTTGGTAACTAGAAGAGTCTGTCCTGAGTGTCCCCTAGAAAGACTGTGCCCGCCTCGACCAGGGCACTCATCCCACAGGCCTCGCCGGCTGCCCCTGGAGTGTGTGATGGAGACAGACCTTGGGATCGTATTGGTTGCCACCTCAGAGAGTTATGCAATGGATAACCAAACCTTGCCAGTAAAAACTTGTGGATTTTATATTGTGATTAAATCTCCAAGAGAGTTTGTTAAGAGGTTAGGGGATTAGTGAGTTGTGTTTGGTTGCTTCCCAGAAAAAAAAAAAAAAAACAATCAGTATTTCTAGTCCAGTTCCTTCAAAACCAGCTGAATGCATTTCAGGGAATGATCACATTGGTAAATAATGCTTTGTTTTTGTTAGTGTTTTTGAAAGCTAGAAAAGCCAGAAAAATCAAGGGTTTGGGCCTAATGGCTGACTCCTCAACCCCTACCCACCCCTTCCCCTCCACCCCGTCTACTCCCATCCCAGTTTACAGCCCAGATCTCACAAGGGCCTAGCAATTTCACCATCCCAATCTAAGGCGAGAACGAATGTGATGGGGGTGGGCGTGTGGGGGCTTTAAAAAAGAAACTCATCTTCAAAATAACATTTTCAGCGACAGCCTGTGATCTTTGTGGTTGTTCCTCTAGAATAGTGCCAGCCAGCCTCTGCTGTGAGCGTCTCCTTCTCCTGGGAAGAGGAGAACATTTCGTTCGCCAGTGCTTCATCACTGCACTCCCACCCCTCACCCTGACCCTCCTGCCATTGGGAAAGAGGGAACGCGTGGGTCTCCACAGCCAGGCGGCCAGTCCCGACTCCCTGGGAGTGAGTGATGTTTGGGCATCAGCACAGCCAGTGGACATGGTCCAGGCCTCGCCAGCCGTGGGCATTTCTCCTGGGAGGAGGTTTTGGAATTTAGCTTTTTGCTTTTTTTTTTTTAAAGAACTTGATTTACAGAACTTTCAAGGGAAGGAATGGTGAATTACTAGTCAACATCTTAATCTCAACTCCCACGCCAGCCTAGCAAATAATTCAATTCAAAAAACATGGACACTTCAAAATGTGTCTGGCTCGGTGCTAGGTATTCTGGGGACACACAGATAAATAAGACATGGGTGCCTCATCTGCAGGCTAACAGTCTGGGGGGAGTATATTTGGCAGCTTACAATTTAATCCTAGGTTTAGAATAAAACAGAAAACTAGTTCACATTGGATTACCTTTGCTTTGCTGGGCATGGGGGAATGTTTATATTTACTATCAGCCTTCTTTTTTGCTGACTCCCTCCTGCTTGAATAATAATAAACATTTGGTCTAGCTCAATATGCATTTATTGAGCATTGGCTGTATACATTGTTCTGGAATACAGCCTTTGGCCATGAACTGGAGACAGCATACTAGTCTTGGGATCTAAACTGTGCTGGTGGTTCCCATAGCAACTTTCTCTGAGCCCCACCACCATTGTCCCTGTGTCACCTCCTTGGAAGGCTGCAAGGGGCATAGGGGGCCTAGGACGACCAGTAAGCTTTGTGGGTTCTAGTCCTCACTCTGCCATTAGTTAGGTCTATAGCTTTGGCTTCTCGTTTCTTTATTACATTGTAGTAAATATGTCCCCTCTGTCTACCTCTGGAAGCTATTATTCTTATTTATTTATTATTATCGATATGAAATTCATATTTTCCCAAGAACAGGTACAATAATACCTATCATCATTATCATTATAGGTCTAATGGCAGGAGTCCAATTTTGTGCATACATGAGCACCAAGAAAATCTCCAAAAGGAGCTACTTCCAAATGTTAACAGTGGCTTTCTTTGGGTAGTGAAATTTCAGATGACTTTCATTTTCTTTGTGGATTTTTTTTTGCCCTTAAACCTGCTGCAGTCAGTATTATTGCTTTTGTAATATGTAAAAGGACTATTTTTAAAAGAAAATGTGTTTTGAAAGGATTAAGTGCTTTACATAGACAACCAAATATTATTCTTGCCTTGTTCATTCATAAGCACTCAGGTACTTACTGGATACTGAGCTAGACACTGGTGACATAGCTGGGCCTCAAGGTACTGAGAGTGTGGGCGGAACAGCTAAGTCAGCAGGGAGCAGTGGAAGCGGGTCGCAGGGCAGAAGCAGAAAGGAGATCAGCTTGGGTGTTGCTGATGCAAGTGATAAAAGAAATGTGTGGTGGAGCAGGCTGTCGGATGCAGGATGCTGCTTGATACAGGACGCCAGCATTTTTTTTTTTTAATTTATTTGTGCATACAGAACGGGGGTGCAGGCCAGAGGTGCAGGGGTGGTGAGAGGATTCACCAGAGACAGAGTGGGGAGCAGAACAGGCTGACTGACAAGTACACTGCTGAGGGGAGCAGCAGGCAGGTCAGGGAAAGTCTGCCGTGCCATGTGGGTCACCTCCGGGACTGGGGATCAAACTTATGTTGAAGTGGCTTTAGCTCCTC